CACGATAAGATAATAATAGAAGATTAAGGGTTAATTTGCTACATAAAAAAATAAATAAATAGAAATTAGGAAAATGACAAAAAGATAGGGATTCCTTTGCAAACAATAGGAGGTTTTTGCTAAAGTTTTTGTCATTTCTCTAATTAATCCTAATTTCTTTGCTATCAAGTATTAACCCTAATTTCTCTTCGAATATATCCAAAAATAAATATATTTCTTTTTTAATCATATGGCCACACGAAAATTAGGCCCAAACCCACAAATTTTTTGTCAAAATTTTCGATGGCATTGTATGTAATTTTTTTTTAGAGGGTACCCTTGTAATCAACCACCCTCAAATTCATTCTGAAGACGTCACGTAGGATTTTGCACTTCACATATAAAAAAATAGATCTACGCGCCACGTAGGATTTTGCACTTCACATATAAAAAGAATAGATTAATCTTTTGAATGGTTGATATACAATTCAAGTCATTTTCGGTATACAGTAATAACTTTCAAGTAAGCCAATTTAAAACAATAATTTATTTATAACTAACTACACAATAGACATTCACTACTTTGAAACAATCAAAGAAAAAGTACAAGATTAATAAAGAAACTAAATCTGAATTATATTATTATGTAATCTGATTTTAGTAATTACCCCTAGACCCTAATATCTTTGATTTCATTAATGTTATTTTTATATTTAGACGCACAGAAGTACTTATTGTGTGTAAGTGTTTTCGAATCAATCACTTATTGTGTGTAAGAGCATCCGTATTGGTGAATTTTGGTGGGTATCATTAAATATAAAGTTATTAAAATTTGAGTAAAAAAAAAGAAAGAGAGTGTTTTTGGTTGAAATAATGAGGTGTATTGAAATATAAAATTAATAAATTTGAGTAAAGAGAAGATAGTGGGTATTTTTGGAGAGAGAGAGTATCAAAAGTATCAACTATTTGATACTTTTGAAGAGAGAAAGAGTGTGTTTTTAATAATTTTATATTTAAAGAGAGTATAAAATTAATAAAAGTTGAGTAAAAAGATGAAAGAGAAGGTATAAAGTTAAGTAAAAGGAGAAAATAGTGTGTTTTTAATAATTTTATATTTAATGATACCCTCAAAAGTTCATGGATATGGATGCTCTAACAGCTTTTGTTTAGAATTTGTTTAAATTAACTAGAAATTTGCTAAAATCCTAACCTCAACAAGGTACCAACACCTTCTTTCTTTTTAAACATGAGTAACCAACACCTAATTTTAAACATTAGAGAAAATCCATGATATGTCTAATGTGGTATGGTCCCATAAGATGGCCTACCACGATTTAGGTCCGCAATTGTTTTTAGAATGACATGACAAATTTGATAACACATGAAGTTTTAGTTTTGAAATGTGTGGCATGAGATGATAGTTGGGCGTTTCATTCTCTCTATTCATAAGTTTAAATCACAAAATTAACCAGTTCAATTCTAAAATTCTGGGTTTCTACTAAAAACCAGATCAACCGGTTAAGTCGATCGGTTTATCAGGGAGCCTTAAACTGTAAGTAAGAACCATTTCGCATCTTGTTCCTTCGACTTTCAGGTTCTTCTCATTTCTCTGTTTTTTCATATCTTGTCCTAAAATGCCTCAAATCCC